TGTCAGGCGTCAGATCCCAAATCAGTCAGGTACATCGCCCTTGGATACGGACGTCTTTGGTGTCGGGTACGTTTGGTTGGCCTGGTGTTTCGGAAGTGAAGTGTTGGAGTGGCGAGCGAGGTGTCTTGAGTTCGGCTTGGAGTGTTCCGAGCTGCCATGGGCCAGCTTGGGTCAGTTTTGTGAGGCTTGGGGCCCAGTATAGTTCGTGCTCCTTGCAGGGGGCTCGGGTTCTCAGTAGGGAGCTCGCTCTTAATAGGGAGCTCGGAGGGAGCTCGCTCTTAATAGGGAGCTCGGACTCCCTGTAGGGAGCTTGCTCTTAACAGGGAGCTCGGACTTAGGGAGCTCGGGTTCTTAGGGAGCTCGGACTTAGGGAGCTCGGGTTCTTACTTAGGGAGCTCGGACCCTTAACAGGGAGCTCGGACTAAGTGCGGCAGTCTGGAGTTCGGGCTCGGTAGTGAGCTTGGACTTGCTTCCGATGTTCGCTTTGGACGCTCTACAGTCCCGAGCTGCTTGCCTTTGCCACGTATTAGGCGATCGCGAGGTCGAGCCAAACTTCCCTTCATCACAAACCAAATCTATTTATCAAGCCCATCCAAGACTCTAACCTAGCAGAATATCCATAACAACCTAAGAGTCAAGAGTCAAACATCAATCCAAACTCCACCCTGATATATCACGATTAATTGCATATACCGGCCATTACCTAGACAATTTTACCACAAGGAGGAAGACATTACATAATGTGCTCCTGCCCCCCGTTCTTGTTTAATTAATTAGTGGATCCCCAGCTTCACGCCCCTCAAAATGTTTATAAAATCGGAGAAATCAAATCATTTATTTATGGTTTATGGGTAAATGGTGGTGGGATCCACATCCCACATCCAAGATCCAATGACTCCAATCGAAGCAACAACGTAGGAGATCTACTTGATCGTGAAGTACTGCGCAAGTTAATACTCATATGCATGCCATGCCTGCAATTCCTACTAATTAAAACCCATCAAAATCAAAATATAGGTTATCAATCCAAGGTAGCTAGCTAGAATTAGAAAGAATACTCACCTACCAAATTAGTCATCAAATCAAACCGGAATCAAGGAATAAGTACTGAATTTGAGTCTAATAATTTAAATTGTAAGCTTAGAAGAGGAGCCAACCTGTGTTTTACTTGTACATTAATGGTAATGGAGAGAAGTTTATTATATATATATATATATATATATTGATAATTGGGGTATCTGCCACAACCTAGGAAATAGGTAATGAAGTATAAAATAGACTCATCTATCAATAAGTCAGCCCTTCATAAATTATTTTTATTATTTAATAACAGTACTTGCATCATATATCTATGCTTATAACACATATGTTAAGTAAATATTATAATGTGAATACTTTACACGCTTTCTCGTGAGGCTTAACCATAGCATAGTTGGCCAATGGCCATAGGATAATTAGTCAAAAAAAGCAGTGCACAATGTAAACAGGCTTTGAGGTATAGAAAGAAGAGCTTTGCTAATTTACTAGTAGTGTGAGAGATGAAAACATGAAAAAGAAGAATAATATCTATATCTCCTCGCGTCTCTCCTTAATTTCTCCTCTTTCTTTCTTTCTATTCAGATGCCAGGCTGAAGGTGGGCTGTTGTTATTATTCACTTGGTATTTATCGATTGCACCTCTCTCTGCCATGTCCGTCAGGTTACGTAGCCAATTATAAGTGAACGTGCTAGTAGGGATTCTAACATATTCCATGCTATTTATTATAGACCCCATTCGATCGGATCTGAATTCGAATTTGATTGAGAAGTCAGATTTTCGGATCTGATTTTTTTTTCTTTAAATCTTAATAAATTATTAAAATAAATAAATATATCAATTTTAATAAAAAACAAAAAATATAAGTATTTTTAAATTATTTTCATCATATATATACCTGCTTTTTATAAATAAAAAAATAATAAATAATATAACAAATTTATAAAAATATAATATAAATAAATATATATAACATGCATATCGGATTGAATGGGATGATTCGAATTCGATCAAATGAGATTAGATATCGGATCGGATCGGATCCATTTGCACCCTACATGTCAGTGTTTCATATACATACGGTCCACATGCTGTGTTATTGGTGTGATCACAAGATCCGAAATCCGGCCTCGTAATTAATTGATAATATGAATTTGAATCAGCTTAATTGTAAAATTTAAGAATAGGATCCAAACAGAGAAGATTGGTTATTTTCATAGAAATCGATCTCTAACTACTCCGGGGTGTTTTTTTTTTTAAAAAATCAATTGACTTTTTCTTTTTAATTTCTACTCCTTCCTTTTGCAGTTTGTATAGATTTTCTAAAATTTCTCTGATTACTCCATGGTTATGTTCGATATTTTGGGTTTCATAGCAAGTTAAGAGCATCTTGATGTTAATAATCAATAAAATCTAATACTGCAATAGACAAGTTTTTTTTTTTAACTTTATAAAAAAATTAAAATCGGTAATTATTTTAGAACCTATTACCTAGCTAGTGCATTGTGACTTGTGAGCCATGCACTACTTTCCATCTCTACGGCCTACGGGTGAATAAGCAATTAGCCCTTAAAAAAAAAAAACCCTAATCCCAAAGCTTCTTCAATGCATCAATCTCCGGGCTTCTTATCAATACCCAGATTTGCACTGCCCAACCAAAGATCGCCATTTTAATTAATACCACTTGGATCAATGAAAACCGCCGACAATCCCGTCTTTAAGCCACTATAAATCCATACTTCATTGACGACCCACTTCAACGTCTTTCATTTTGTGTTCCTTCTTCTTATCTGAAGCTACCTTACTAGTAGCTAGCTAGCTCTGATAAGAAACCAAGGAAAACGAAATGGGTTTTCTTGGGGTCAAGCTTTCCCTAGCTTTTCAGCTTTCACTGCTTTTGTTGGGTTCTCTGACTGTTTCGGGTGAAGAAGCTGCAGAGTCTAAGAGGTCACCTGTTTATTACATTCACGCTCCGGCTCCAGCTCCGGCTCACCATCATCATCAAGCTCATGCTCCAGCTCCCCTTAAGCCATACCCACACCCACCTCCTGCTCCGAAAGCGTACGTTCCGGCACCAGCTCCGGCCCCAAAGAGTCGGATTCCTCCTCCCAAACCAGCTCCAGCTCCACCAAAAGTTCTCCCTCCCTTGCCCGCAAGAACACTGGTGGCTGTACAAGGAGTCGTTTACTGCAAGTCATGCAAGTACCCAGGAGTTGATACTCTTTTGGGTGCTACGCCAATTTCTGGTTCGTCATCTGTTCCATGACGACATATATATAGTTTGTTTCTGTTTGTCTGTGCTGATGAAATGCATGTTAACATAACATAGCAAGTTAATTTGCTTTGTATTTTGGTTGGTACGTAGGTGCAACCGTGAAGCTGCAGTGCAATAACACCAAATACCCCACAAGTCATGAGGCGACCACAGCCAAGAACGGTTACTTCTTCCTGCAACCACCAAAGACGATCACCACTTACGGAGTACACAAGTGCAAGGTGTTCTTGGTCAAATCATTACCCTCAGCTTCGTGCCAGTTGAAAACCAACCTTAACCAGGGGATAAGTGGGGCTGTCTTGAGGTACGAGAAGCCCAAAAGCCCGCTGTCATTCGCTCTCTACAGCGTTGGCCCTTTTGCCTTCGCTCCCAAATGCTGATCACTAAACCCGGCCCTTTGCTAGTATTTTTTTTTTTTTTTTTTCTTTTTCCCTTCTAGCTAGGGTTTAGGATATGAATATTCCCTACATTGCAGTGAGCGAGCTAGGGCTCTGTTTAGTGTTTAGTGGGTGTCTTTTGTTTTTATATATAAGAAACTAGAATAAGCTGGCTGTCAGGTTGTGTGACAATAAATGATATATTAATAATAGAAGAATATTAAGAATTACATATATTGTGCCATGCCACTATGAATTTGGTGGTTATTCACTGTTTCTTTTCTAAGCTTTGAGATTAATATATAAGCATAGCGATGCACAGACTGAGTGTGCTTAGAAGGGTGTGCCTATTCGACCCTGACTGTCATCATCTCATTGGTGGGTATCAGGAGATTTTTTCTTTTCTTTTGGGTGAAGCAAGGAGACTCTCATCTCATGTGAAAGATATATAACTTCACAGTTTCGGCCATGTTGGGATAACTCACAGCAATGTGATGGCTAATGTGGAAAATAGTGGGTTCCATGGCTTGATACACAGCCATTGCATTCAGCTGATCACCATTCAGCTCTGTTAAAAATCTCACAATCCACTTAATGACATTCACTACTGAAAGACAATACAATAAATCATAGTTCAATTCACCTGCTCCATAATTTTCTTTTTTTTTTGTTCATATTTTTCGATTTTGAATTGATGGATTCCCTTCAATCGTCCAACGTATCAAAAAAATATTTTAAGAGATGCATTGAGATGTGTTTTGGATATGCATGACAGTCAAACATGATAAAAAAATATATAATATTAGGAAAATGTATATATATTTGTTTGTGGATCAAAGCAAGTTAAGAGCATCCTGATGTCAATAAAATCTAGGGTAAAATAAAAAAACCTCCCCTGAAGTTTCTAACAATCATAAAAACCTCCCCTATAGTTTCATTTTAGCAAAAACCTCCCCTTTATTTTTGACAAAATTAACAAATACCTTCCTTCCGTCAATGAGGAAGATGAAAAACATTAAAGAGATGATAAAATACCTATTTTACCCTTTCTCGAACACTGTTCATCTTCTTCTTCACGACGCAAAATGACAGAATGGCGGTGACTTTCCCTCTTCTTTAATTTCCCTCTAATTCTCTCTCTCTCTCTCTCTCCCCCCAACAATGGTGATTATTTCATGGCAGTGTTGCACCTTGATTTGTAGTCTGATTTGCATGGCGGTGTGACCTTGGCTGACAGGGGTAGTCTGATTTGCATAAGGGCACTATGGTGGCTGACAGGGGCTGACAGGGGTGGTTATTTCATGGCGGTGACCTTCCCTCTTCTTCGTCTTGTGAGTATTTCGATATTGAAATCAATGGTAGAAGTGTGTCCTCATGGTAGTCTGATTTGCTTGCACAAGATGAAGAAGACCTTCTCTGGGCTGCAATCGAGAAGTTGCCGTTTTGGAAAATAATGAACTTCGCAATCTTGAAGAATGCTTCTTCGGATACTGATGGAGGAGAAGCGAAGGCAGAGACTATCGATGTCAAGAAACTTGATTGTTTCGGTCATGAGCTCGTCGTCAAGAATGCTTTCACGACAGATGAGCAAGATAACTATAAGCTCTTGTTTGCAGTTAAAGAACGTCTTGAAAGGTACTATCATCCAGAGAGAACATCTCTGTTAATTTTCTCGTGAATCTCATACTCTTTTATAGTTTTATCAATCATCTCTACTAATAGTGGAGATAGTCCGAGGAGATGATATGGGACTATCAAAGCGCCCAAATCCTCCGCTGCTTAGAGTGCCATTGTCTCCATCTCTGATATGTTTCTCATCTCTACATCCGATAGGAGCTGCTTCACCATTGCAATGTCGTTTGTTTTCCTAGTTTTCGGCTTTTCACACAGAAGAAACAAAATGAGAAGAATCAATAAGAATACAAACACCGACCCGGTCGCAATTCCTGCAATAGCTCCTCCATACAACTTCTTCTTCTTCTTCCTACCATTGTCATTATTGTTGGCACCACCGTTGATCTCTATGTTTGTCGACGGTGTTGGTTTGTCGGGACAAGGGCTAAGTGATGAACCCCACAATGAAGTGCTCAGAAAGGAACTAGTCGTAAACTTCTTGTGTTCCTTTGGAATTGAACCGTTCAATTGATTGAACAAAACATTGATCTGTACAAGATTCGTAAGGTTCTGCTCGTATCGGGGTTTCTAGAGTACAAGAGTGCGACAGGGTTTCTCGAGCTCCGACCGGGCCTCGTGGAATCAGTGTGATTACAAGACCCTGGTTCGCCATTAATTGTCGACGAGCACTGGTTTACGGATGAACATTGGTAGCATGACGTTGTCACATATTGGTGGGTTGCACCATCTTTTATGATGGGGAGGAACAGAGTGGCTGGTGTGGAAGCCCCAAACAGAGAAAAGAAGAAGAAAGAGAGAGAAAGAGGAGATGAAGAGATGCCATTGGTGAAGATTGAAGACTGAGAGAGAGGGGGGAATGATGAATAGTGTTATTTCGTGTTAGTGGGGAGAGAGAGAAAGAGTGAACCAGAGGGAAATTAAAGAAGGAAGGTTGGAGGGGGGAGTGCACTGTCATTCTGTCGTTTTGCGTCATGAGGAAGAAGATGAATAGTATTCGAGAAAGGGTAAAATAGGTATTTTGAAAAAATATCATCTTTTTAACATTTTCCGTCTTGATCATTGACAAAAGGGAGGTATTTGTTGACTTTGTCAAAAATAGAAAGGAAGTTTTTGTTAAAATAAAACTATAGGAGAGGTTTTTATGATTGTCAGAAACTTCAGGAAATATTTTTGTATTTTACCCTAAAATCTAAATTTACAATAGGCTAGGCTTTTTTATATTTATGAAAACTTTTAAAAAGGTGGTGTGTAATTAATTTCCATCTATACGGGTGAATCAGCAATTAGCGCTTAAAAAATTCTCCACAAACCCTAATTCTAAGCTTTTCTAATGCATCAATATATCTCCAGGCTTCTTACCAATAACCATTGACCAACCAAAGATATCACCATTTTAGTACCATTTGGATCAATTAATTAAAACAGCCGAGAATCTCGTCCCTAAGCCACTTTAACGTCTATCGTGCTCTGTTCCTTCTTCTTATGTGAAGCTACCTAGCTCTAATAAGAAACCAAGGAAAAGCAAATGGGTTTTTATTGGGGTCAAGCTTTCCTTAGCTTTTCAGCTCATGCTCCTGCAGCTCCAGCTCCCCTTAAGCCATACCCACACCCACCTCCTGCTCCGAAGGCTTACGTTCCGACTCCAGCTCCGGCCCCAAAGGGTCAAATTCCTCATCCCAAACCGGTGCTCCAAAAGCTTCCTCTCCATTGCCTGCTCCACACCCTTCCTTGCCCCCCAGAAATCTGATGGGTGTGAAAGGAGTCGTTTACTGCATGCAAGTACCCAGGTGTTGATACTCTTTTGGGTGCTACGCCAATTTCCGGTTCGTTGTCTGTCGTATCGCATATTAGTTTCTCTGTGAGAGAGAGAGATGGAATAATCTATTCTCCATGTTGATGAATGTTTCATCATGTAACACAAGCAAGTTAATTTGTCTTGTTTTGATTGGTAGGCTCAGTTTCATTTCAGTTCCATTCCTTCACCTATTACTAAATGGCTCCCTATCTTCTTCTTCTGGTTCTAAGAATAAGTTCTATAAATACTAATTTTGATGGTGTTTGGAAGTATAGGCGTTTTGTGGAACCGATTTTCAAGAAAAAATGTCCATGCTTCCAAGACCCATTTTTCACAAAAAAACACTTGGATTTTGTTTGGAAGTGTTTTTGCCACGTAGGCAGTGAGCAATACTATGTTGTTTGGTAAGGTGATTTTTATCACTGTTTTTCATGCATGTGCTGACAGGTAAGCACCACATAGGATACAAATCAGTCAATCATTGAGGGCAACGATTCACCAATGCATAAAACACCAAATTTGACGTTTCATGCATGGGTGGGGTCCCAATTTACGAGGCATGCCCATGATTCAAGTGTTTTTTTGAAAAACATATAAACCAAACAATTATATATATGGGCGTTTGTTGAAACGCCTATGTGGATCCAATGTGGCACCATGTTTCAAAAAAAATGGCACCATGCTGAAACGCCTATGTAGATCCAATATGATGAAAAAACTAAAATATGCATAAATATTATAGAAAAACTTTATCAAGTCCTAAAAGATACAACAATAATACTAAATTCAAGGTTTTTATAGGTAAACTCTATGGTTTGAATCACTGAAAATAATGTACAAAATACAAAGAAAACATATTTTAATAAGGGTTTGTATCTAAAACATCCCCATCTGTTATCTCACATCATCTAAAGGCCCTCCCCTCATTTGCAATGTGCCATTAGAAAATGAACGGAAGTTATAAAATTATCATAATGCCCCCACTTGTATGCAATTAAAGTATGAATATCTTAGTTTACTTCAGACTTCTCGGCAACCAAAGTACTCTCTCTCTTTCTATGAACATAGCCCCAATTTAAATCAGCCTATTTCTCACAGCCTCGGGCTCAAGCATAAATTCTAGGCCCATGGGAATAAGCCCTGTTCGAGCCCGAACCTGGCCCAATAACATATATTAGTAAATAATAAACAGTAATATATAATAATATTTTATATCTTAATAAAAGGATAATTACTCATATATATATATATCTTGTATGTAGAGTTGTAAATCAGGTCATGCAGCCTGTGGTCCAGTACGATGATATGCGGGTTGTGCAGCCTGTGGCCCGGTACGACGACACGTGGGTTGTGCCAGTCATAGTAAGAATGTGTGGGTTGTGGACCTGCATGACATGGCTCGCAGGCCTGCAGTGGGCCAAACGCGGCCTGCCCGAGGAACTAGCTGTTGGAGACCTCCCCTCCCAATAGTTAGTTTCAGTTTTTTGGGTTTTTTTATTACAGAAACACCCCCCACCCCAAATAGCTATAAACAACTATATAGGGGTATTTATGTGTTTTGGCTTTGGGGGAGAAAAAATGACAAAAATGCCCCCAATAGCTATATATCAGCTAGTTTGGGTGGCATTTTGGATAAACTAATAAATGATTTTACAATGACCAAAAGACTCCTCCCAACAACTAAAAATAACTAGTTTTTAGGGTATTTTGGGCAATTGAATTATTTTAATTTCTATAAATAGCCCAATTTTTCACCATTCTCACCACACCAATTTAACAATTCTCTTCTCATACTCTCTCAGGCTCTCATACACTCTTATACTCTCAAAACTCTTTCTCTAATCTTCAACTCTTAAGTCTTGTTTTTTTTCAAGTTTCAACAAGAAGGTTTGCTCAAGTATCTCAAGTTAGCAATTTGGGAGGCTTGAAAGCTTCGACCATTGAAATCAAGTTGAGATTCTAAACTGACAATTTAGGAGAGTGAAATGAAATTGATTTTATTTTTTTAGAATTAAAAAAATGGCCAACTCTTCCCGAAACCAATTCCCTAGCATGTTCAATGCTGACAATATTTAGTTGCAACATGATAGCGTTGGCATTGATATGGATGCTATTGAAATTGCCGGAGTTCCCACCCGTAGTAGTACTACTCCTGGGGTAGGAAAAAGAAGGGAACTAAATTGACTAACCCAATTTGGAAATTGTTTAAAATAGAGGAGGTTGAGGGGAACGAAAAAAATGGTCATTTGCTAAAAATGTAGGATGACTTTAGCTATTGTTACTGGTCACTTAGGAAGATATTTGCTCACCCATGAGAAACAAGAAGAAGGAAAATAAAAAAACCCGAACACAAACTGGGAGGGGGGTTTGGTACTTTTAAATATCCACAAGAAAAAAAATGAGACAAGAATTGACAAAATATATTGTACATGCTGACAACCATTTTTATTAGATGAGGATAGTAAATTTGAAAAATTTTTACGTAATTCCATAAATCCTCAATTTAAAAAGTTTCTATGAATACTATTATGCATATGCTTTGAAAATTTTTTATTCATATAAACAAAATTAAATCTTAATTCTAGACTTACAATTACTTTTGATATTTGGACCTCTAAATTTAATATAAGTTATATTTGTGTTACTAGTTATTTTATTGATGAAAACTGGCTTTTACAAAAAAGAATTTTAAGTTATACTAGGCTTGAATGGCCACATACTAGCCTAGCTATTGTTGCAAGTATTTTAAATGCTTTACTTTTTTATGAAATTGACAATAAACTTTTTTCTATTAGTTTTGATAATGCAATCAATAATGATTCAGTAATAAATATTTTAAAATCTCAATTAAAACCTCATTTTAATGGTAAGTTACTTCATATTAGATGTGCATGTCACATTTTAAACTTATGTATTCAAGATGCTTTAAATATTATTTCTAATCATATTTCTAAAATTAGAATTTGTATTATATATATATTAAAAGTTCTAGAAAAAGAAAACAATAATTTAAATATTTATGTCATAATTATGTTTTAAAATCTAAACATTTTATGTTAGATGTTCAACATAGATGGAATTTTACCTATTCTATGTTAGAAAGTTGTATTCCCTATAAATAAATTCTTTCTGATATTTATAACTCAAAAATTTCACATGATATTATACTTGATGAAGATTGGGAAATGGCTATTTTCTGGAATGAAGCACCAATCATCTTTTATGGAGTACCACTGCAAAGTAGTCTCACTAATCACATAAGCCAGCTAGCTCTCTCCATCTTCGGCAACCCATGTTCCATTATGAAGTGCTGATTTGGGTCGTGTACTTATCCAAGTTGGGGGAGAACGACAAGGGGTTGTCAACAGGGCTCTCCCTGCATGCACCTTATTTCATATGTCAATGTAACAATGCATCTAGCACCTATACTGTTACAAGGAGTCTGAATGAATTACGTTTCTTGCAAGTAAAGTCCTATTGACAACCCAGGCTATTGAATTTAGGCCCCATTTGGTTTACGGGAATAGGGGTCTGCAATCGAAATTGGAATGGGTTATTCCAATTCTAACTATTTGGTTGGGCGGGATCAGAGTTCCATTCCAATTCTTGGTGGAATGGCATTCTTCCATTTGAGGGAATGAGGGATGGACATTCTCTCCCCCTTTCTTGAGAATGAAATCCCAATCCTGCTGATTCCAATTCTCATTTCCATTCTTGTCTGAACCAAACAGATTATGGGAATAGACCATTTTGAGTTCGATTCTGATTCTAACTGTAAACCAAATGGACCCTTATAAAGCCATTTTTTTCCCGCCAGAAATTGCCAGGCTCTGCTCAGAGTGCTGCCACCAGAAATGAAACTAGTTGCATGTCTTCTAATTCTTCTTCCTGCTCAGCTTGGCAGAGTGATCATTGTCACCATTAGTCATTAGAAAACTGAAGGAAGGATTGCTGGGTTTAAAGTTTTGTGGCTAAAGTAATATAATGATGTGGGTCTCGGTGAACCATTTTTATCGGGTCACTAATGGTGACTTGACGGAAGGAACATATGCTACATATAAGAACTGTTTGACAAAGATGTCTCCGTAGGTGTCTAAAAGTGAGAATAAATTTAAGAGGGTCTCATACAAGTGAGGAGTTTCAGATAGTAACCCTTTTAATAATTTGTGTGAAGGGTCATCTAGTCAAAATGTAAACTGGTAGAAATAACAATGAAAGCCATTGTTTTCCTCCCTTTTGATAGTTTTCTAGTTGATATAGTGGTTAGATCCCTTGCCATTTTTTATAGGCCGCCTGGCGCCTGGGGAAGTTAGCATTACGTAAGGGCATGATTTGAATTTAAATGTCTTAATTAGGGAGTTAATTAAAGTTAATTAGGGAGGCTATTAAACATAAATAGCAATTAATTGAGTCCGGATCTCCTGCCCACGTTTGCCCACATAACATCACAGTCACACATGGAGAATATCTCATCCTCCTGCATAGTATTATACAGGGGGCAATGTTCCCAATTCATGGGGGTAGTGTGTTGTGAGCAGACGTGGGCAGGAGATCCCACGTCCAATTAATGGCCTTACACAAGGAATTAAGCTAGACTTATCTGTGTGCAGGGAAAATAACAGTGAGGATACAATACACAGATACCATGGATATAGATGGAATAAACCAAGTTTCAGCCATTACATTTGTAACATGTATCCATAACCTAAAAACTGTTGATATATACTTTAAAACTTGATTCCTCTATGTTTTATAAATTGTCTGCATCCATTGCCACTAAAAACAACCTAAAACCATCACTTGAAGCTAAAGCAACAATTAACCTCAGTTCATCAAATTTTTGGAAAGAAACAACAATTCTAGGTATTCTAGTTCTTTTTTTTTGTTTTTAACTTAAAAGTCTTTATTTTATGTTTCAAACATAAAGGTGAAATGTATCTTTTTAAATGGAAGTGAATAAACTGAAAAATTAAAAGAAAAATGAAAGTATAATGAGCATTAAACTAAAAGAAAAAATAAAATAAAGTATTTAGCTAACCATTACCATAGTGTCCATTGTTGAATGACAAGATTGAACTAACAAATTTAGGAGAACTAAATGTGTGAAACAAACAATTATTTCTTGACAATAATATCATGTAATTTTTAAAACCATTTGCAGCTAGAGCACAGGTATAGGCAATCACATATCTAAATTATTATTTTAGAAACAAAAAGATGGCTGCTAGTCTTTTCCCCCAATTGTCGAATGATTACAAAAGAGAAGAGATTCTCAATGGCATGAGATGATCAACTAGAAGTATATGGCAACCATTCAAGAGTTTTGCCTGCAAACATGGGAATAATGACTCCGAATGCAAATGTATAGGATTCTGGCACCTTCCATGGGTTCTTGATCAATTTGATTTTTGATGTGTTCCTAGGAAGACCATAGAAGTCTGGGCCATTAAAGCTGGTAAAAGCCTCTAGTTTGTCAAGTGCATTTGCCTAAAAACAATAATGAACCCAGTTATCATACATACACACACACAAACAATAAAAAAGAAATGAAATGAAATGAAAAAGAACAAACAAACAAAGAACAATACTAGTTGAGTAAAGGGTAATTAATCTCTTCATTATCCCTGATTTTTAAAAGGCATATGGAGCTTATGCCTTCTTACACATTGAGGGTCACCTTGAGGTGAGGCTCAAGGAAAAAACTTCAAGGCTTCCTAACTTTAAGGCATGTGCGTACATGTGTATGCATATATGAACATGTATATGTATATGTGATAGCATTCAAGAGGAAGAACTGATAACAATGAGCTGGTTCGAGGGAGCTCACCCTCCTGAACAAGAGAAAGAGAAGATAAGAGGGAGAAGAAGGAAGGGAAAATAGGGTTTATCTTCGCTAATGCCCCAAGGACCTGATTACATGATATTTATACTCTTATCACCCACTCGCACATGATGGAGATTGCGATGAGTAACTAACTGGTGTGACATGGATGCCAGGTATAAAGAAACTTGAGAGGAGGCTTCTCTCGAGTGATCTTGGGTGTCTCTCCTGGATGGGCTGCCTGGGGGCTGTTTCTGGTTGGGCATTCTGAGCTGGGCTCCTGTGACTGGTCAGATTTCTAACAATATGCATACATATATGTAGATATTTGTGATATAATCAATTTCACCAATCAAAAAACATATTTAAATATATTTTGAGTGTTATTTTGCATTTAAAGATTTTTAGTAGTTTATTAAATGGTGTCCTAATACACTGAGTTTCTCTAAAACTCCTTATGTTTGTGTAGTCTTTGTTTATGTGATCTGATCATTTATATGCTCTTCCTCTATAAAAATATATTCCTTTTGTGCAAATTTGTATGTCTTTCTCATTTCCATTATATTTTCTTTTCTTAATAAAGCAGATAGATATGAAACTTAAGACTCACATCTCAAGGCTTCCACTGGTAAGATGAAAAAATGGGTCATCATCAGTAAAGTACACACACTTACAGACACCATCAGCAACAAAATTCTTCAGTATCCAGTCTTAGTTGATGAGAGCTAGAGTACAACAGTAAAATCTTGGGCTGGAAGCATAAGAATGATGTAGACTGAGAACAGACACTTCATGTAAAAAACTGCCAGAGGTTAGGTCCATATTCAGTCCACCCTTTCCAAGAGCTGGGACCAGCATTGGGTAATGGTATTTTTTAGGGAATATATGATTTTGAAATCATAAATATGAGACTAGATGTTCATGCTGCATATGAGTTTCAAAGTTTTTACATCTATCTAATTGCATAGGAAGGCAGAGCCCCTTTCATACTTTCATCAATAATAAAATATACTTGTTACCTGTGAAAAAAATAATTACAATGAATAAGAAGCAGTTGTATGTGTTGTTGCATTTAGTGATTTACAATGGCAGGGGAAATTCAAACATCTTTAATGTGTCTTACTGAAAGAGAGACTCTTTCTGGAGAGACAGTCTTCAAGTGGAACTTTGACCACTTCTATTTGTTAAACTTATATAGGAGTCAAGTTACAATTTTATCAATGAAATTTTAATATTTCTCATTTATGATACAATAATTTATAGAAAGTCAAATATGAGCTAAGCTCCAAGAATCACATTTGTACAAGCCTGCTTGATATATTTACCTCAGACAGACAGTAAGATAGATTTCATGTTTTCCAAATGCCAAACTTTCATATATTAGTTAAATGGAAGAACCCAGGCATGAAAATTACAATTTTCAAGTTGTATAGTTCAAAAGAAACAAAACATAAGATGTGTGTGTGTGTGTGTGAGAGAGAGAGAGAGAGAGAGTACCTCTTCAAATATTTTGGTATAAAGTGAGAGGGCTACAGGGGCATTATATATCCCTGCACATCCACAAGGACATTCTTTTCGTCGTCTTTCATGAGGAGCACTATCAGTTCCAAGAAAAAACCGTTTACTTCCGCTTGTAACTGCTGATACAATAGCCTGTCCTGGCATGAGAAGCAAATAGATGATTTCAAGGAAGATACCTTGAGAATACTATTTCAACAATAGCTGATTAAAAAGCTAAATGCAACTTCCCAAGAAAGAAAAATGATTCAGAGAAGAGTGTAGGACAGAAAGTCATGAATATCAAAGACCATCTAGTACAGTGCTTGGCAAGAAAACTCTGGAAGCTAATAATTTGTTATGACCACCAAAAAGTTTTGAGGAAAAAAAAGCAGTGGAGCACTTAGAGCTCAATGAGTAATTGAACAGAAAGAATACTAATATGTTAAGTTATCATTGGTGAAAATAATAACAAAGAGTCCTCAGATCATGACTTCAAACAGAGAATTCAAAACTAAAATGGACAATATATTTGAAAATTCAGGTAATTTCACCTTAGTATCTCTTTACAAATTCATAATAGAAGTATCATGAACATCAAGAAGTTGGAAACTTCCAATAATCTGCAGGCATGGACATTGCACAAAAATCATATGTGCAAATAATATCAATTTGCAATGTCACACTTGTAAAGCTACTGTCCAGCATCAACTCAATAGCTGCACTGTTCTGGTTCTATGATTCTATTACATATTTACATCAGATTGAGCCTTTACCCATAGAACATGCTCTTTCTGGTTCTAGTTTTTGTGCTATAATTGTGGCTATATACTATACTAAACATAGACAAGAAGAAACATAAGATTTTTTTTTTTTTTTATAGGTGAAGAAATATAACATACAAGGTTTGTTAGGTTTTTCCAGTATTTAGTAGCATGAAGCCCCCTATCAACATTAGTGAGATAATACTTATAGTGACTTTGCTCCCTTATGTAACATGGGGGTCTCAGGCCAAAAAAAAGAGAGATAAAGAACAAATCATTGAGTGAACTTCTGAATTAACTGTAACAAAAACCACAGTATCATATTTATCTCTCTCCAAATAAGCATAATCCTATGTTGCCATGAAAGTGCCAGGTTTTTCACAGCTACATCGTTCTATTCTGAAAGAAGAATTCTCCATGAGTAAAATATATTGAATCACCATGGTAGCACGTGAAACTTTTAGAGTACACCATGGTGAGCAGAAAGATAGTGAAACATACTGTGTATCTCTCTCTTTAATACTGGAAGGCAATAATTATGTGGCTGTAGTCCTCCTTGAAATAGAGCATTCCTATTGAGAAGGAGATGCTGTGGTGTCACAGTTGCAGCAACAGATCCTAATGAAAGAGGGTACACAATTAGGAGGTGAAAAATAATGAAATAAATGCTTCTTATTAAGACAGGGTACTTGACAGATGTACCTTCACTACAAGATTCAATAAATCTAACAGCATCTAGAGTAGTTATATGCTCCATTACAATTTTCAACTGTGGAAGCCTCTGAATTAATGGTCTTAAAATGGTATCAATGAAGACTTTTTCACGATCAAATATGTCAACTTCTGGATCCGTTACTTCCCCATGGACCTGCAGAATTATATCAAGGGAGATTAACATTGGATATATTTATAGAATATTTGATCTAGATGAGAGAACCTTAGGAACAAATGCATCAGGAGGTCAAAGGATTCATAATATGTTCCATCTTCCAGATACAGGGTAAACAGAACTAATACAAAGCATATTACAACTTCATCCTGCTACTACAAATTCTAAATATGGTTTAGCTCCACTCCCACCTTATATATAGTCAATTTGTAGGTATTCATGATGCCTCTAAAGCTAACCCCATACATGAGTTGCCCAATTTACCAGAAAAGGAAAAAAAACTTATGTAACATTTCTCTTTTCCCTTGACATGGTAAACCTTGTGAGAGGTGATAAATTGGCACTCTAAAAAAGTATAGAACTTAACCAATGACATTGAAGTCTCTGCACCTGTAAGGCCATACCCAATTGTCAACCCTAAGCCAAGTCTTTGCACCTAAGGATTATGCAAGTTTGATGGATCTGACTTCTAGATGCATACATAGCACCTGATATCATACCCAAGTCCATATAATGTAGTCCGTCCTATGTTTTGAACATCCTCACCTCCAGGTTCTATGTCAATAATTCTTCCTACCAAACATCATTTACAAAACTCCAACTCCCCCATTTGTCAGTGTTACTTGTTCGGTTGCTAAATCAGTTTGGGAGTGGGTCTTTTCCCTTTTTGGGTGTGTTTCAAAGCTTGTTCTCTCCCTCCTTTTTCAGATGGCCGAAGAAGAGAGGGAAGACTATGTGGAGAAGCATCAGGGCTGCAGTGTGTTGGACTCTATGGGAAGAAAGAAACTCACGAATATTTTCAGATAAGGAAAGAACCATTGGAAACTTATTAGATCTAATTCTGTTAAGGGTGGCACATTAGTTGAAAACTATGGAACTATTCTCAGATTATTCTGTGGCTGATTTGGTGAGAAATTGGAAGGAGATAGCTTCCTCTGCCCTCTGTAAGAGGAGCTGTAGTCCTTTGTGGTCCCCTCCTCCTTCTGGGTTCATAAAACTGAATTTTGATGGCAGCTGTTTAAGGAACCCAGGGCCTTCTAGTATTGGGGGAGTATTCAGGAATGAGGTGGGGGCTATTATTGCTATGTTTTCAGGCCCAATTGGGGAAGGAGGCTCTCTTAGGGCTGAGATCCTCGCAGCCCTGGAAGGCATCCAAAGAGCAAGGGAGCTGAACATCAGATGTTTGGTCCTTGAAGGTGACTCAGAGGTGGTGATTAGGTGGCTAAAAGGGGGAGACAGCGGCTTATGGAGTTATAACAATGAGAAGAATAAATTTAAATGGCTGAGTAGGGATATGGTGGTTCACTACAACTGGGTGAAGAGGACTGCTAATTCCTTTGCAGATGGGTTAGCAAAGCAAGGGGTGAATAGGGATTCGTTTTTTTGGGCTAATTTTTTATTTTTTCCTTGTACTCTTTGATGGGGAGTTAAGTCTTTTTACCTCCCCTTTGTACCTAAGCTTCATATAGTTTCATATCTTTAATAAAGTTTCTTGTTATTGATCAAAAAAAAAAAAAAGAAGTTTCTATGAAACAAGATAGCCATATCAATATCTTCATTCACCAGTTTAAATTGATAAGAATTCAGTTCAAACCTAGGAAGCTACTTGAACCACACCACTGAATAGACAAGCAAAAGACGAGGCTTGCATATCCATTTAGAGCTTCTCACCTAGGCATTTCCACAGATATACCTTTCAAAAAAAGTTCAAAAGTTGACCCATAAGTTCAAAAAAAAAAAAAAAAGAAAAAGAATATGCCTTTCTAGGAAGGCCAGTAAATTGGCATTTCTAGGTAGGTATTACATCTGATGCATTAGTTTAGAATCCTCACTCTGAGTCAACTTGAACAAGAACTGAAATCCCACCAATTTTAAAAGAGTGTGTTACAAATTCAAGTATAAAAAACACCACATCTTCCCTTTTCAGCCTTAACAACTAGGTAAAGCACCATTACTGCTAGTATTTTCTATTGTTCTCCTATATAAGATTCAAACTTACTGACATACAACTAAAAATGTTCAACTGGCAATTAAAGGTCCATGAATTAAAAGAACTGCTAAACAATTTTCAATCAGGAATTATTAAATTGTAGTCAGGTCCAAAAGGAAGATTACCAGCAATGGCATATTCTGCTGGACCATCTCCTCGAGAACAGGTAGGCACTTCCCAAAAAGATCAGTAACACCATCTTGAGAATTTGTAGTAGCACCAGCAGGATACAACTTCACAGCAAAAACTATCCCACTTTTTCCTGTCAAATCAGTCAGTATTCATTAAACCACAGAGATAAGAAAATTTTTGAGAACACATTCACTTTATTATGTGCAATTTGGAGACTCTTGGAATATCTGGCCAAAAGACGTTTTATAAATAGAATGAATAAATCAATGTACAAATGACTTCATGGCAAAAAATTGGAGTTACATTTCAAGTGCAAAGAAGTGAAGTTATAATATTTATATAGACCAGTAAGTCATTCTTTCCCACTGATGTGGTTTCAAAATAAATTGTAAATGTCTCTCTGTTATACGAAATTGATATTTTGGGGGGGGGGGGGTAACTCCACCAGTGCGAGCTTGTCTTACACTACTGGTCCCAAGCCTGGATAAAGGAGGATTGCATCAGGTTGTTAGCTGGAACTTAAAAACTTTTTCCCAAACTCTTATGGTCATGATGATAATTTTTTTTTGGGGGGGGGATGTCTAATTCCTTTGTTTCTTTCTTCTTATGATAACTACACTTCTCAACTACATATCTGCTTCTTCCTTTCTCCCTTTATTTATTTTTTTAAATAAGTTAACTTTATTCAAAGAGGGAGTAGATACATGAGGAGATGTACACAGAGACTAATCACTCAAAGAGTTATACAGGCAGAAAAGTATCACTAAAAAAGTAATCCCTATGAACACCAGACTTTGCTAGACCGCCAGCTACAGAGTTTAGCTCCCTCGATACCCAGCCCTAGTGAGCATTCAAAGTGGAAAGGATGTCTCTTGCTTCAGCCAAGTAGTGAGCTAATGCCCAAGGCCCACCATCAGGATTAGCTAGCCAATCAATGGTATTGGCAGCATCTCCTTAACCTAGGTCTCTTGCAATCCTGATGCCAATTAAGGCTGCCATGACTTCAGCCTTTGTTGAAGATGCTATCCCAATCGGTCCACTAAGGCCCAACTTATAGTGCATTAGTGCCATCTCTTCTTCTAAGGACACCTCCAATTCCTGCTGCACCTGGATTACCAAAGGCACTTCCATCAAAATACAAAGTTGTCTCCCCTTTCTCAGCAGCTCTGAAACTGCGGGTGGTGGTGGGGTATATATGTTTAGAATGAAAGAAATTTACAGCATTTCTTCAAAGGTCAGCAAAGGAGACACCTCTAAAATACTCTGAGCTGGAAGTCCACAGGAAGCATCTATAGCAGATTACAGAAAGGAGCTCCTCATAGTTTCTAGTTCTGTTGTTGAACACACAGTTGTTTCTTTCTTCCCAAATGCTCCAAAAAAATAGCATCTGCAGAAGATTGCCACAATATCTTCCCTCTTTTGCTTAATCCTATTCCTGTCCATTGTCCTAGACAGTCAACCACGTGTTCTGGGAAGACCCAACTATACTCAAATAGGGCGAGGAAAAAATTCCAAAGTTTTCTGGTTTCCTCACAGTGAAGCAGGATGTGGTTGGCGGATTCCCCAACTTTAAGGAAGAAGAAGCAGACATGAGGGGAGAAATAAGATCTTCCAAGGTTCTTTTTGTGAAGAAGATCGTAAGCATTTATTCTCTTCAAGCTGGCTTCCCACACAAAAAAGCAGACCCTGGAAGGGATATGGGAGCACCAAACCTGAGCTTGATGATGATGATGACTTTTTAGAAAGATAGGTAGATGGATAAATGGTTCCATTATCCAAGGTAATGGGATTAATAGCCCTTAATGTAAAACAAGTATGTTTAAACTAATATAAAATAAATCAAAAAATTAATTTACTCTATTTTACTTTATTTTGTTTTATTTTTTGAGATACTAAATTTATCATTCAAAAGAAGTTTTTCCCTCCATGTTGTATGCTATAATTGGCAAGTAGTTGTCTAGAACCAGAATACTTGTTGCCTAATTACTTATAATATGTAATTCAGTTCTAATATTATTTAGTGTCAGTTTTCTTTTCATTTTAGACAGCTTCCTTTATGTAGATTTATTCCACCAAAAGGAGCTGTTGAACAGAGAAAGGAATTTAAACCTGACAAGTCTGACTTACCTTCTTCCTACTTTCAACCTTTACATGGTATTTGAACAATAAAGGCATATGAACTCACATTTTTGTACACTATAGATTCAGATATAACACCCCAAGCCAAGATGGATATAATATGTATTAAATTACAACTTCTTAGCTTCATTCAAATTGGTTTAAGTGGTATATGCAAATCCATAAAGAGTATATCAAAACTAAAAGAAGCCATTAGAAGAAAAATTGCTTATCTAGTTATTTGGAATGTAAAATTTCCGAATTAGACTTGTTTGTACTAAAGACAAAGACTCACTGGCAAGCTTGATCTCATCAGGACTGGTCTTATCTGTTAAATAGAGTGTCATAAGAGGAGTGAAATGACTGTTTTCTGGTAGTGCTTTCAGTATGGATTCTCGATAAGCCACAGCTGCAGCTGTGGTGGTGATAGGAGGTTTCAGATTTGGCATCACAATTGCCCTCCTGAAATGAAGTGCACTATATGTACACAGAATAGATTAGGTAAGATACAATAGAAACAGACAACAAACCCAAATTCAAAAGATAAAAAAAAGTTGCCAACATTATGCAAACCATCAACATGATAGCCTTATCGGAACTACTCAGTGAATATTATAAAAAATCAACATGTTAAAGAAAAAGACCTGTGGGTGACAACTGCTTCAAGAAGGTCACCATCACGAAGATGAAGGTGCCAGTCATCAGGCTGTACTATTGACAGCTCCATCCTTACTCTTTTTTTTACAATGTAAGGCTCTTTAACCTTTCCAAGATGACACTTTGATGCCTAGAATCCAACAAACATCCACTATTAAGTCCAGAAAAACCAAAACAATTAGCAACTCTTAAGTTAAATTTAACAAGGATGGTAAGTTAATTAAAAATAACACCTTGAAGATCAATACCAAATCCTGCCAAATGTGCATATATATACTTCCAGAAAGTCAGAAACAATGTGTGCAACTACAATGGGTAATGGACTTAAAAAACATGTCACTATCAAAATCATCTAGAATGAAATAAAATATAGTTATATATAGTGTGAATTTTTAAGATGTTTTAAATTAGAAAAAGTTCTCCATTTTTTCATAAAAAGGATATTCCTTTTCTTCATTCTTTCCTGGAGGCTAAAATGAGACCAAGAAAAGGTTGAACCTGATCAGGAATGTAGAAATAGAACTATGAGCTATTATGCGTGTCAAAGGAAGATTTGCATTATGAAATACAGAATATGTACCCATGAGAAAGAAGATGAGAACAGAAAAGGCAACTCAACAAATTAACTTGTGTTGTGAGGTCTTCCTTTTTCTCTACAAGTATACCATGGGGTCTTCCTTAAGCCAGATGAAAGTACTTTCTAAGCTTCTAGTGGACCCATAGGGGACAGAGACTCAACACTAAACAGAAGAGGTCATGCAATATCTGGGACATGGATTCTCAAGGAGTTTTTAATGAAATTTGTGAGATATTAGCTAATATTAGAGTTCATAATACATGGATTCTCAAGGAGTTGAATTCCATTGTAGATGGTCATGCAATATCTGGGACATGGAAGGCTTTTAGTATATACATAGCTCTATTCCCATATAGTTTTTTGCCAAGGATAGATAAAGTTTATCCATATTTTGATGCATCATTCTACATCCTCTCACGTACTCTCCTGCAATGCTTTAAAACACAGAGGCATGATGCGAGGTGTTCCATTACCTAGAGGCATGAGGCATGAGGCATGATTCACAATGTAAGAGGCATAAGCCTCCCGAACTGCCGAACACAAGGAGGCGTAAGCCTACTTAAGAGGAGGGGGGATAAGGAGGAGGGAGAAGAGGAAGGAGGATCTCATTTTTCTTTATTTTAATAAAAATATTTTATATTAAGAAGAATGAAGATGCATAGCACTAGTTAAAAGGGGGGTCTTGTCGAAGCGAAAGGGGTCTAGGGGCTTAGCCGAAGGGGTCCAGGGGCTTAGCCCCCAACCCACTTTCTTTCCCCTTATCTTTTCTTTCCTTCCCTTTCCTTTTATTTTCTTTCTTTTTCTCTTCTTTCCCTTCCCTTTCTTTTTTGATTTTTTTCAATCTTTTTACATAAGGTGCGCATGAGGCACATGAGGCATACACCTTAGAGGTGTCAGTGCCTCCGGCATACGCCTCAGGGCATTTTGGGGGCGCCTTGCCTAGAGGTGCACCTCCAGGTGTACACCTCTCACACCTTTTTAAAACACTGCTCTCCTGTTTTTTTTTTTTTTGAAAGGTAAGGTAAATTTATTAAAATTAACTCAAAAAAAGTACAGAACAGAACCTGCCCACAAACAGGCAGGACTGAAACACTCCCACTACAGACACCAGATTGATTGAGTTCTCAATAGATGAGTTACATTTGATTTTCTGAATTCAGGAGTGACTGAGATCCAAGAAATCAGTTTACCAACAGCCAGCTGAACTATATCCTCTGCCCCTCTCACCTTTTGATTAAAAATTCTGTTGTTTCTCTCAGACCAAATGGCCCAAATCACAGCTGCCAGAATAGTGGTTCATACCACTTTCCCTCTTTTCTTCAAATTGCTGATTTTCCAACAGCAAAGTAACTCC